TATTTATTCGGTTCCTCCGAGCGAGGGCAAACTTGTAATAAGTGTGGGTGTGTGTGTGTATGTCTTCCAACCTCACTTCTTTCTTCCCTTTTTATTTACCTGCTTATGATGATAGATTAGGGCATATTTATTTTAGCATACCTTATGCTATGCATGCGTGCATTCATGCATTTGTTGACATGCACCGGGCTCGGTACATCATACAAACTACATTGTACTTTTCAATTCCAAATTGAATACATGTTACTTGTAGCATTTCACATGCCATTTTAGGGTTAGCCGAGCCTGTTTAGAGTGCATCTTTGCATGTGTTGCATTAGCCAATTTAACATGAACTAGGACACGCACATTTTGCTAACTAGTTTACTGTTTTGGCACAGAGTACTAGGTAAGCTTTTATGCTTTAGCATATCGCATGCGTGTGAATGTTACCATGATAGCATGATTACCATGAGGCTAGCTGCTTGTGTGATATAAACTGCTTGGATGCCTGTGGATGGAGATTGAATTACCTAAATTGGAATAATGCATTAAAACTGTGAGTTTTAAGCTCACTAGATAGTGGCAAAATCATCTTTTCTAAAAAGCCCACGTGAGGGTGGCAAAATCCGCATTTTAGCCTACTTGCGAGTAGCAAAACCATTTTCAAAACAAACATGAAATGTTTTGTTCCAATTTGGGCGATTTGGTCTATACTTGTTTGCTGCGCGCACAACATAGTAATTCTAGGCTAACAATTGGTTTAAGAACACATAAAGTTTTCAAAAACGGATATCACGGTTGGTAGAGGCTGGTCTTCGGACCGGGCGAAAGGGGTTGCTCATAGCTGACCTTCCCCGATCGTACCCAAGCTCCCGACCCGAGACAACTCCGATGATGACGGACATGTGGCCTTCGGCACCGAGTCAGGGTTTCCTAAATGCCCCCCAAAAAAATAGTTAGGTGGCGACTTTGTATCTGGCAAAGCAGTCCATGTTTTACGATGTTCGATTAATCAATGGCAAAATGCAAACCCGACAATTCTACACAACCGTGTCATCCTCCACCGATGACCAAGGACAAAACCTCTAGATGCATATAGTTAGTACATCTATTAAAAGACTCAAATTTCATGAATCATAAACCCAACAACAATATTAACATGTTAGTTAAAGAAACAACTTCTACATGTGTGTTCAACACTCAAGATACAACAATCCAATTCTCAAATTTATTTCGAAAACACTTCCCTCATTTTCACAAAAACGATTCCATTTCCTTTTTGTTATCACAAAACCAACTCCACTAATCTTGTTTCCATAGAATCAACTCCAGAGCCATGGTTAATCCCTTAGGCATTAACACCCTTACCACACTCATTTGACGAAAGAGATTTACCCACAAAGGTCAACAAACCCCCATTATAATTTACCCAACGAAAATATAATTTAGGGCTTTTCTTCTATTAACTACAACATGCTAATTTATATTCTAATTAGCCAAGCCAACAATCAATGAAGCCAAAACCATTCTCCACACAACCAACCCTAGGTTCATTTCACGATTTTCAAACAAATCCAACATGGTACAATTTTCATGCAATATAAAAATTACCACATGTCAATCTATAGACGGAGTATTGAAAAAGAACAAGGAGAATCCCTATCTCAAATGAAGAACTCAAATAGAGAAGATGACCCGAAATCAAAGTGCTCCAAATCCCCAATTTCTTGGATCACAACGAAGCCCTCGACGATCAACACACTTCTTACAAAGGCCCAAGGTGAGGAAAACACTCTAGCTAGATCAATCCTAAGAGAGAAGTTAGGTTTTAGAGTGAGGTGCTCTCCAATGGCTTTTTCGGAAAAGTAAGAGAGAGAAAGGAAATCAAAAAGTGATTCAAAAAGCTGAATCTTGGACTGATATAAAAACAGGTCCGCTCGAGCGTACAACACCCCGCTCGAGCGTCAGACACAGGTTCACGCTCGAGCGTCCAAAGATCCGCTCGAGCGCCGGATGCACTCTCCCAGAATTTTTTGCAGACGACGAAAATGCTGAGAGGAGGAAATTCACGCTCGAGTGTCCCAACTGTCGCTCGAGCGGAAAGGCAACAATAAAAACCCGCTCGAGCGTCAAATCGCCGCTCGAGCGTAGAGACCAAAACCTGGGCAAAAATTCTAAGTTTTAAAACACAACCAACTTATTCCCAACTTGCCCAACACAACTCAAAACTCTAACACAAAGAGTAAGGGATAGAAATGAGAATAAAACAACAACGAATCCACGAAACTGAGTCCGGATTACGGTTAAACAATAGCAGGGAATACCGGGATCGCTATACTTTATATAGTAACATACCATTAACGTTCAACAACAAGAAGACAATCACAAATATCCATAAATACCAATTGCAACAAGCCAAATTAGATATTAAACAAGATGCAGATTAAAAATAAAAAGATTTTTTGTTTTTGTTTTTGAGACAATATCCCTAGATTACCCCTCCCAGCACTGGGTACTGACAAACCTGCAGCTGCAAATGTTATCCTCTCTCTTTTCGAATTTTATTTTTGGCAATACACCCAGCAAACACAGAAGAATAAATAAGAAGCTATACAATTTGCACAGGAAATCCCAGCTATAACTTGCCTTATACCAATGACTTTCTTAACATCATCTTCCAAAGCACGGATCATATACTTGTGAAAATTGAACTTTGGATTTCCCCTGCAATGTATCTACACAGGGAATAAATTCAACATTAACACAAATGCTAGTGAAGTAACAATAAAAAAAAAATGGAAATTTAAAGTCAGATACTAACAGGAAATTGGATACTTACCATGACAAAACCAAGTCTCAGTTCAATATAGTTTGATTTGGTGGCAGACCCATAAAAATTGCTTTGAAAAGGAATGCTGAAAAGTACAATAAAAATTGTGTTACAGGAATGGCTTGCACATTTAGTCAAAATAATAGTCATTAGTAGTTTCAGATTACATAGCTTGTTCTATCATTCCCGATATAATTGAGCCAAGTCCAATCTTCATTTCGAGTTTGCTAATCTTTCAAATAGAGCTTGAGCAACCCACTGTTCAGATTATTCAAAACATGAATAGCAAGATAGTTTCCCCATCATTCTCCACCATGTTACTCTGTTGAAAACAAAAGGCAAAACATAAAAAAATGTATGAGCCTATTGTAAGTTAGCATATATATGTCTGTGTTTGTCTATATGCGTGCATAAGAATAAGGGAATTATGCACGTGAAAGGACACGGCTTGTTTATCTGCTAAAAGGAAATCAATCTCCTCCGCCCTTTATTGAAATTACTATCAATGAAACCTTCTCAAAAAGCAAAAAAGCATGAAACCTCCACCATCTCTCTTTTCTCCCTTATCTTTTATTGCCAAGGCAACTTATTTTTCCTTAATGTGTTACTCATTCCATTTTGTCCTCCATCAAAGTAGACATAACAGTTAGATACTTACTTAGATTGTGTATCACAGTATCACCAAAAATAATAGTTTTGATATTTCAGATTCATATGAATATAAAATTCTGAAAACAAAATATTTTAAACA